ATGGTACCATCTAACAAACGATAAGAAGCTTTTCTAAACGGTTAAAACATATACTACTACGGCTCTTATCCGATAAATACATTTGAACACATATATGTGTTGCCGGGAGCGAAAGGGTTAACTATTAAGTTAAAAAGAAAAGAAATTATATCCAACTTTCCGTGTTTCTATTTAGGCAATCAACAAGGTTTAAACAATATGAATACAACAATGAATACATCATTAGCACCAATCACAAGTATGAATAATCTAGAAATACCAAATAATAAAAACAAATCTTTAATTGCCCACAAATCTGTATCTTTCATTAAAGAGTTTGATTGTCAATGAGTACATTCTCTAAATTTGTTATATAATTTACATCAATTTTAAACAATAGAAAATAAAAAAAATACAATTTTACTCTAGATGATCAATCAGTTTTGATCAGTATTTCACAAATTAGTAGTAATATCATATATTTGTGAGTATTTCTTTTTTTTAGTACTCGTCGATAAACAAATCAGTAAATTAAATTATTCTTTTTTTTAATTATAAACTATTATTTTTATATTTACTTATTGATCAAAGTCTTCTTTTAAAAAAATTAGTATGTCAATATTTTTGCTATTATCAAATAATTCTACTCCCTATTAAATTATTACAATAATTTAAATTTCTAATTCTATTTTTTTTAACATATAAATATATATTATCATAATTAAGATGGAAAATACGTGCTGTCGTTACTTATGAATATCCAAAACGAACATTCATGTATATACATGGTAATGGAGAAGTATCTATTTGGGATTTAAATGATTTATCTGGATCGACAAATTTGGTTGCTTTCAATCTTAATTAGTATATTATGGCAGATAAATTAAAAAAATACAGAGTGAATCATTTCTTAGAAATTAACATATTTCTCATTAAATTATATAGCCATATGAATGTACCAATTTATCTGTTCGACCAGCATCTGATAGTTTTAAAACGTTACCGCATCCATTTCAATTAACTTGTACAAATGCAACTCGCGTACAAGAAATAAATTTAACATACAATTTCCATCATATTAGCTATAATTTTACGCATTTGAATCAAGTTCCCTCGACTGTAGGGAGGGTCATATGAAAAAAAATAGTTTGTGTGTTTGTGGCAGAGTCAAAAAAACATTAGGGTCAAAAAAAACATCTATTTTAAGTTCTCTTCTATAAAGGTTGACGAAAGTAAATCGGGGTCGGGGAATCCGAATCTGAAATCAGATTTTCAAAATTTTGAATTGTTTTTTTGGGTTCATGGGAAAATGTTTTTGGTGAAATTAGTGTTTCATATCGTATAGAAAGAGTTATATGAGACAAAATAAATGTTTACCTGT